ATATTATATTTTTGACAATAGATCCTTCTTAATGTTACACTATGGACCTTTAAGTTCTCTGCTCATGTTGTATTTGAGCATAAGATGAACCACATATATTATTATTATTTAATGTTATGAGATTTTTTTCATATGTTACAGAATTTCAGGACATAATAGTTCAAACTTTAAAGACTTTAAGTGGGAAAACGTAAATTTTTTGTTCCGTTGGAATTGTTTTTATTCGGTTATAAGCAACCAACACATCACACACTTACAATATTTTTGTCTAAAACTTTATGACCAAATACCTCAGCTGTACTTTGTGTTTAGTACTAATTAATTAAAATGTAGGCATAGTAACATGCTAAACAAAGATGGTGAACATAGTAAACATTATATGGCTGTACACTCCCCTAAATGTTTTGTTTCATAAATGAACTTATTCATTGTGTGATTGGTTGTGTGTGTGTCAGAGAATGTAAAATAAAATGTGAATGAACAGATAAGTTTCATTAATAAATATTTAACTGTCAGATTTCATTCATTGAATAAAATATTTGCTTAAGTAGATTCCGTCTGGCTACAAACACCATCTGCATAAAGGAGGAGCTGTGGTGGAGGCAGGTTGCAGAGGAAGCAGCAAAGGTAGGCCGGCTAAAGCAGCTTAAATGGCGCCCTGAAAGAAACTTGACTCCTAACTGGGTTGATTTAATTTGTTACTGAGCTGATTGGATCGTTATTAAAAGAACCAGTGTGTAAGATTCAGTGATATCTAGTGGTGAAGTTGCAGATTGAAACCATTTGAATACGGCTCAGCTTTCCAAGCGTGTAGAAGAAACCTCTTCTTTTAAGCTAACATACCAATATATATATATATATAAATAATATTATGTATATATATTCCCTTTCTGACAATAGATCCTCCTAAATGTTACACACTGCACATTTAATTAACCTCCCCATCAACAAAATATATTTTTAAACGATTATTTTTCCTCACATGGCTCATTACCTGCAGGAGTTGAGTGATTGTGAGCAGGTCTTCGTGAACCCCGGACTTTGGAGCTAGTTTTTGGTTTTGTGAATACGCCCCCAGGGGCCCCCCGAGACCCTCTACTGCTTACTGATGAGGAGGGGGGAGGAGGGAGGAAGGGTCCTTTTGTGCACTAAAAAATTTAACTCCCACTTCCTTAATGTCACTGGCATAAAGGATTTCTTATGTTCCTGCCTCTTATCATCAGTTCATTGCATAATAACGTATTTTAAACATATTTTAGCCTTTTCTAAATTTCCTTTAACTCACTTCCCTCAGATAATCTTCACCAGCAGAGCTCTTCCTCAACCCATCAAACATGTGACGGCCCCCTTTAGTGTTTATTGTTTTACGGCCCCGTCTATGCTGTGTCAGAGAGGTCAAAGTTCAACACAACTGGCTCCTTTCTCTTATAACTCTCTTTGTTCGTCTCCACTCACACAGAACAGTAATGGATCAGTGGAGTTTCAGCTGCTCAGCTTCCTTCCTAAAAAGTGGAATAAATCTGCCGCTGAGTCACTGAAAGGACACAAATAATTCCCAGAAAGGAAAAAACAGGTTGCCCCCCCCCTCCCCTCCAGTTAGGAGTCTGTCTTTATCCATTTCATCATACATTTACACATTACTCTGTCCGAGTAAAAGATTTATTTTATATTTTTTTATTTTGACCAACCCAGATTGTTGTTGGAACAGTGGAAAGACCAACAACGTCGTCGTCGACGTTGATTTTGTTTCTGTCCACAAGTTACGATGTTACGATTATCTGTAATGATTGTTTTTGTTTATGGAGTCTGGTGCTGAGCGATAGCGATGCTGCAACTGTTTAACAAAAACCTCTAAAGAAAACAAGAAGAAAGGACTAAATCAGAAACCTGACACTGATGAAATGTATACACATTTAATGTGGAAAAGAAGAAGTTTTCACACATTATCAGAATAACAGACATGATCTTAATCTGAACCGGCAATGATTTTGCCACAAACTGAGCAAATACAGACAAACACACACACCCACACACACACAAACACTCACACACACATACAGTATATTACATAGTGACTTCTGATTCATGGTGGACATAAGGGATGACTAACATATTTAAAATAACTCAATAAAATCCACATTAAAAACTGGCTTTGTTGAGTTTTATAAGCCATTAAACAAGTACTTCTGTATACTTTAATACTTTATGTGCACCCCTTAAATCATAAAGACAGCAGCTGCAACATACAACACTTCTCACACGAGGGTTGCGATGGAAGGAATTATAGCAACTTCATTTGTTGAACACAACACACACATATAAATATACATGAATATATTGCATAAGGTTAGGTTTTTTTTCATCAAGTATTACTACAGTTGTGTTTCTACCAAGGGTAGGAGAAATGGCTTTTTAGGTATAATCATCATCTGCATCAGAAACAGAAAGATCATCCAACACAAACCCAAACCCAAGTGCTTCCATAATCATCCAAATACTTCAAGAGGAATGTTTCCAAAACGGGGTTACACACACTGTAAAGGGTACGCAGACATGTAATCTCACACATTTTATTACACAGGACAAAAATATATCGGAGTCTCTGTTGGAGACGAACATGCTGTGATGTAGAGCAGCCAGCGAGCTCCTGGTCCACTCCTTGTGCTGTGTCAACTCTTCCACTACAGGAACCCAACACTGTTACAGGTTCTGCTTTTATTTCCACTGTTCTACGACTACATTTCAGGAATCTGGCGAGGACGCATCTGGAGGCAACGGACCACTAAACGCTCGGGCTGGTGGGCGAGGAACAAACTTTTACATATTACAGCTAAACAGTACATTAAAATATGTTTCTGGAAACGTTTTAAGGGATAAATAGGCAATGTAGGAACAGAATTCATCAGCATTGCCTAGTTTGACAGTTGAAGTTGAGACGTGTTTATGCAAATTCAGACTGGGCGATGGATGTAGATTAGCTGGCTAGTTAGCTAGCATCTTGCACATAAGCTAACTTAAGATGTGACTATATGTCACTTTTATCTTTTAACCATGTTCAACACTTTGTCTTTTCAACATACTGAATCCGACTCAACTGTCGGCGGCCAGGTTGCATTGTGGGTGATGTAGGCTCCAGATTAAGAAGGAAGGAGAACGTGTTAAATAAAAAAAGACTTTATCCCTTTTTATGAAACTGTTCATAGTGAGTCTGACGTTGTTACAGGACTGTTTAATAATTTTTTAAAACAGCGCTGCAAGGAAGCACGCTTCAATATAAAGACGATATTCTGATTCAGAATGTCCAATATGTGTATTATGCCAGCTTGTGCATTTGTTCCTTGTAAACTGTAGACTGTTTGTTGGGGAGCACACTACCCCAGTTATGTTTGGTTAACATAAGTAAGTTCTCCATTGGATAGACATCTTTTATACTCAGGGAATGTAATAAACCTGTAATAAACCTTACAATGTTCCAAACTTTAAAACACAAACAGTGGAAACAAAAAGCAGAACCAAACACGAAAGACTCACAGGTTCTTAAAAGTTCAGGTTACAGGTCATTAAAGTCCCCGTGGTGGAAAAATACCTCTAAACAACCAATATAAGCGAAAAAGCTGACGTGATGAGGTGTGACGTGACTGGCTTTGAGGATAAGCATCAAAGTTGCACAGTTAAAAGTCTTCAAAATCGTCTGATAAATATGTTGTTCACGTATAACTTTACAAGATCCATGTAAATCACAGAAACATACCTGCGATCTGGATGTGATTCTACAGTACATATTCTACAGTAAATACTACAGCATAATTATGTTGGATTCTCTAAATACCTTAACATTTCTAAAGACTACTGTTCCATTAAATGCTGATTGATTCCTGCATTGATTTCAGATCTATCAACACAGGCTCGTGTTCTACTAAATCAAAAATACTGCGGTTTTATTGATGAGGTGATTAAACTGCAGGTTGCTTTAATCTCTGATTTCTGACGTATAATCTCTGTTTAAACTCTCGATCATAGGCAGGCGAAGCTGATGAAATACTGTGATCTATAAAGTGCATAAAAGTGGACAACAGCATAGAAACAAAATGATAACAATGATTATAACAGCTGCTTCGACAAACACTATAAATATGTCTCCCTTCATGGCCATCTTCCTCTAGTGTGACAGTTTAGTTGTTGAGTAACAAATAACAGCATCAGGAAGAAAATACTTAAAGGGTGATTCAAATACCTCTTTTGGTTAAAGTCGTACATTGTTCTTGTACTCTCAAGTGAAATAAAGAACTACTTTAAAACTCAGATGTACATTATAAAATCCGACAACTTACAGTATGCTGAAAATAGTTGGAGCATTAGGATCAAAGTGCCAAGTTGTTGTTCTCTCTCTCTTAAAGGAGCAGAGTGGTGTACAGAACCGGCTGGTGCAACCGCCGCCGTATTAAAATCACCCAAAAGAAGGTTTGCATTGCTTGTGTAGTGATGTTTGTGTTGGACGTACAGTGGAGGTCCGGTGGAGGATCCTTAGTAAGGAATTTGGTTCTGGTAATACTGCAGCATGTCGTACGTTTTGCTCCTGT